ATATCTTTCCCTGTCTGAAGTTACCTGATTTTCAGTAGAGACCTGGTGGCAACCCTTTATTAAGAGCTCTCATCTCTGTTTCACAGACTTCTAGAACCTCTATAATTCAGGAATTTCCAGAAAGGCTTAGCTCCACAAAGGCATACAGTAAGAAATGCATATTTGAGGTCTAGAGATGAAAGAATTTTTTGGAATATACACTCTCAGTGAAGTCATTACTGAGAGCACTCAGTCTCTTTCGAATGGAGGAGGGGACACAAACAAGAAGCCATCTTTGGGTTGCCTCTCTGCTCCTTCCCTCAAAATGTTCTCCCAGAAGCAGAGAGTAGAAAAGTGATGTCCGAAGACTGGAAAAGGGAGGGGAAGGAAAAAAAGAGGAAGGTATTGGCTAGCACATAAAAAATACAGCTAGGCAGGAGACAAGCTCTGTTTCATAGCATGGTACTTAATCATACCTAAAGATAATTTATTGTTTACTTCACGCTATTAAAAGAATGAATTTTGAATGTACTCATCACAAAGAAATCACAAATTTTGAGGTGGTAAATATGTCAATCACTGTGATTTTGATGATAACACATTATATACATTTATTGAAATATCACACTGTACTTCATGAATATGTACATTTACTAGATGTTAATCAAAATTTTAAAGCAGGGCCTGGAGAGATGGCTCAGTACTTAAGAGCACTAGCTTCTCTCACAGAGGACTTGGGTTTGATTCCCAGCACACACGTGGCAGCTAACACCCATTTATAACTCTAGTTCCACGTGATCCAACTCCTTCTTCTGACTTCCACAGGCATTACACAAATTGGTACCCTAACATATATGCAGACAAGATACTCATAAACATAAAATAGAAGTAAATCACCTTTTAAATTTTAAAGCTGTCTTATATATAGATAAATACAGAAAAAAACTTCAGACATCCTGTTATTACATAACAGTTCTCAAGGAAGTATTTCGATCCCTGTATTCTTAATAATGCCTATTCAAACCCAAACTTTTGAATAATCCTCAGTTCCACCCAGTCTTTGTAATCACAACCTGTCTTCCAAATGGCAGAGGCCATTCTGCTGAGCTCCTCTTTGGTCTCTTTTCTGTCCTTCCAGGCAGTCCCCACACTCTTGTCAGAGAATGTTTTAAAGCCCAGCTTTGTTTTCTAAGTTTATTTTCTTGAAATCTTCCCTTCCCTAGTCACTATAACCAAGGCAACTTCTAGAGGAAAGAGTTTATTCGGTTTGAGTCCAGATTCCAGAGAGTTAAGAGTCCACTGCGGCAGAGAGGTATTGTGGGAGGCATGGTGGCAGAGGCATCTGGAACAGAAAGCTGGGAGCTCACACCTTCGAGCGGGCATAGGAAGCGGAGAGAGACAAACGCCAGTGAGGCAGGCTGTGAACTCTCAAAATCCGTCCCCAGCGATGTCTCTCAAAATCCGTCCCCAGCGATGTTTCCACCGGGAAGGCTGCATGAACTTCTGCTAACAGCGCCACCAGGTGTTCAAATACTTGGAGCCTCTGGTGGACTTTTCTCATTCAAACCAACACACTTGGTGACCTCCTCTTTCTCCTTAAGGTGCTGGCTGCAGTGATTATTCTGGTGAAACGCCATGTACTCTGGTCTCTGTTGCTGGCTAAGGCATTCCTTCATGGTCTCATGACACTGTGTGCTTCTCTCTACCCTAAAAATGTAATGATTTCAAAATCTTAGCATTTATCATTTGCCTGGGTACACAGTAAATACTGGAACATTTACTGAAGTGCATCTAGAGTTATGGTCAGACTAAAAAAAAAAAAAAAAAAGTAATAAAATGATTTCCTACTAGGTAAGAATAAGAAAATAGCCGGTGGGCAGAAAATATAATTTTCCATCACTGAACAACCTAACTAAAACCATTAGGAAAGAGTTTTTAAATCTGTGTTGTGAGGCTTATTTTTTTCTCACTCATTTTTTTAATAAATTCAGGTTAATAGAAGAGCCAAACAGATTCATATTACTTCCAACATAGGAAAAACTATTTTTAAGTCATCAATTCATTTAGAGGATATTGTGAGGCAATTTTAAAATTAGAAATAATATTGTGCTCTGATATTGGGTTGACACCATCTCCTTATGTATAGCAGAAAGAATCTGAAGGGAAAGTAATACCTAGAGCAACATGTTATTTCAAAATGTTGTAAAAGATGTTAAAAGATCCAAAGTAGACCCAACAAGCAAGAAAGCGTTACTCATCATCCCTACTGTGCTCACACAAATGGAAAGCACATTGTAACTGGAATTTTTTTCAGGGGTTTGGTTTTGGGGGGGTCTTTTTTGAGACAGGGTCTCCCTGTAGCCCCAGCTGGCCTGGAACTCACTGTGTAGACCAGGCTGACACTGAACTCACAGTGATCTGCCTGCCTCTGCCTCCCAAGTGCTGGAATTAAAGGCGTACACCACCACCTTGGGCATAACTAGAATATTTTATTTGAATATTTTGTTCTTATTTTTTTGTTTTGTCTTTTTGAGACAGGGTCTCTTTATAGTCCCAGATGGCCTGGACCTCACTATGTAGCCCAGGCTGGCCTCAATCTCACTGAGATCTGCTTGACTCTCTGTTTCCGAAGTATTTGGATTAAAGACATACATCACCATCCCTTACTTTCATTTGAATTTTTATGTCATTCGAGTATCACAGACTTTAGCCAAAGCCTCTGAAAATAGGCGGATAGAAGGAAATAGAATGTTTGTGGGCAAGGCTTTGTTACAACACAACACAAACATTAAAATGAAGTCTTGAAGATATAGCAAACAGGCATGGTTAATTGCAGTAGAAGGTTTTAAAATGGAAGATTGAAGTACAGACCAGTAAAATTCCGTTCAATGGTAGCTAATGCCAGTGACTTGGAATAGCGGAAGGAGTCCATGTTTGTTGATCACCAGTGGCAATCTGCAGAGAACAGCAAGTATTAATCTAAGCTAAAGTCACGACAATCTTTCCCATTTGAAGTTAATAGCACAGGGAGAAGGAAAAGAACCGGTATTTAAAAGTCATAGGATTTACAAAGATCTGCTTAAACCTCAAATTTACAAAATTAAATGAGTACATGAACATAGCACTTGAGTCTCCCACTTAGGTCGCGTCCCCACAGAGGACTTCCTGAACTTCGGGCTTCTCTGTTGACCGCCACTTCACCATTCACACTGTTTGTTTTTCATCATAGTATTTAACTCTAATATTTTCTTACTTATCAATTTGTTTATTCTCTAACATCACTCATTCACACTTTAATCTTCAAGTAACTTTAAATAGTACAGATTGTAAAAATACTACAATAGTAATTCCTGTGCATCCGGACATGTGGCACTGCATTGGGTTTGTTCTTGGTTAGTAAATCATTTCATTTCTCCAGAAGTAGTTTCCCCATCTGAAATAAGACTAGCAATGTCCAACTTCTTGGGGGTAAAATACTAAGACAAAAACGAAAAAAAATGTGATTGAGGTTAGGGTAGCATCAGTTGACAGAAAACTCTATGTACCAGTGCTGTGATAACTAAAAAATAATTAGATACAAACTTCAATTGCATCTAACGAATAGTGTCCCTTGTCTTCTAGCAAGACCTAAGCCAGATTAGCAATAGTTCTTCATAGTTATATATTTTGCAATCTTTGCAATTATCTAAAGGTAGACCAGGCATCTCTACAGGTGTAGAAACAGGGAACTTGGAAAACAATGGGGGAAATGAGCATGAGGAACATGGACTTTGGTTTTTATTTTGAATATGTAAAGAATTTCATGTGAAAGATTGATTCTGTGTAGTATCAAGGTTCAAACTGAAGACTGGAGAGGAAAGAGTCAACAGGCAACTCATGGCCTAAAATGTTACTTTAATGTAATGAGGGGTTTGTAACCTTTGTAACAGTCCATAACAGGGGAAGTATTCCAGTCCAAATGAAGACTTAACAGGAGTTCCTGACTATTTATTAAGCTGAAATTCACACTAGATGATTCCAAGATCTTTCCCAGGTTGTGCAACATTCTTCACAAGGTTACTAAAAATAAAGTGAGCGTTCATCCCCATGCTGAAAAATAATCCCAGAACACTTTACTCAGAGGTAAAGGCAGTTCCCCAAGGACTGGCAGAGGACACCAGCCCTGTGGGCACGAGGGGGTGCAGGACCATCAAGACCATGGCTTGTGCTTCCGCATCTGGATACTGATCCTTTGGTATATTTGGGGGTCTCCTGTGCCTACCAGCATTAATTGTGGTCACATTAATGACAGTTGATGTTCTTCACCAATTTGCTGCTGCATTTTCTGACACTTGTCCTTGAAACTACAAATTCCTGTTAAGAACAACCTTCAATTAAAACGATCTTCTCATTTTTGATAAGGAGTGGAAGGCCATGCCTTAAAGATTCAGCAATCACCAACTTGGCACATGATAAATGTTGAGATATGTTATATTGAATATTAAAATAGTTACCTGAAATGACTTTTGCATGGGCCTGCAGGAGGCCACAGTGGCTCATGATTACTTTCACATTTATTTGCATTACAAAGACAAGGGAGTCAATGCCTCCTGTGTTAACCATGTGTTGACCTTCCTGCTGATGTCCAGGGGCCTAGGTGTGCCTGTGGACAGTCATAGAACCTGCATGGAAAAAGGAGGGAAAGGGTAGGGAGGACAGACAATGGAGCCACGAAGAAACAGGTTTAGGGAATTGTCTTTCACACACCCTCCCAAAACACCCTTGATTTTCCTTCTTCAGTTTCACGTCTCCCTTGGCTGGGGAGGCTGTGGGCTGCAGACTCTGTGCTGGAATGAAGAGTAACTGAGCCTGAGCTGAGGCCCAGGTACCTTTCTGCTCCGGGGTGATTGCAGCAGCCTCCCCTGCCCCATCCCTGGCTCCTCAGCAGCTCTCCCCGGTGCGAGTCGCCTGCAAAGACAGCGAAGCGGCGTTGGCAGAAGTTGCGGGTGCAGGGCTCCGGAGGCATTGGCTCAGGAACTTTTCACGTCATTCCCGGCTCCGGAGCCCGGTAGCCGCTCGGCACAGCCTTTCCCACCGCGGATCCCCGGTGCTCATGGGGCAGGGGGACACCAGCTTGCAGCACTGAGCCAAACCGGACCAGTCCGTGATGTCCGGCACCAAAGTGGAGGACTCCCTGCCTCGTCGCAACTGGTCATCTGCTTCCGAGCTGAATGAAACTCAAGAGCCGTTTTTAAACCCCACCGACTATGACGACGAGGAATTCCTGCGGTACCTGTGGAGGGAATACCTCCACCCGAAGGAATACGAGTGGGTCCTGATCGCCGGCTACATCATCGTGTTCGTCGTGGCTCTCATCGGGAACGTCCTGGGTGAGTCTCCCGGTGGGCTGTCACCTCCCCTCCGCCCAGCTGCAAGGCTGCGAGACCCCTCCCTCCTCCTGGGGTGCAAACAAAGAGGTCGCTGCTCTGGGGTGAGGCTTCTAATTAAAAAAAATAAATAAATAAAAGTGTTTTTTTTTATTTTTTGTTTTTTTGATTTTGTAAACTAAGACCGACTCTAGAGCGATTCTGGTTCTATGCAGAGAAGATGGAAACTGTATTTCTGTTTGAGCACCTTGGATTACCGGCGCGGGGACAGGGACGCGGACCTCCAGGCGGATTTGTTGAGTGTAGGGGAATCAGTCATGCCTCTGTGCAAATCGTGGGTTTCTGTGGGTGGCGGGGGGCTCTTGTAGGCACCCGAAGACACTGCTGAAGGCACAGGCCTTTGCGAGCTCCGTATTGCCCCTTGCCTAGGAGGCTTGGGCTCGGGTCAGGAGGGGCAGAGTGGAGACCCGCGGAGCAGGTGAGTGCGCTCATTCGTCCAAGCTGAATTAAACAGAACCCAGCCGGGAGCGGCAGGAGGTAGGAGGAGCATGCCGAAAAGTACCGGAGCTCTCAGACAGCAGCCCACCCATTCAAGCATTCATTCATTCATTCTTCAGCCCTTCAAACAATTTTTTTTTTTTTTTTCGGAGAGTGGTTGTTACCAGGTTCAGAAAATATTTGTGCCAATCTCCTTAAAAAGAAACTAAGCTCAATGTCAGTCTGTGTTGGTCTCTGAAAACACAGGTTTCCTTTCTAGTTCTCCGCTGTTCTCTTCATCATAATTTCCAAGGCCCTTCCTTTCAGCCGCAAATTATTTGCTTTTAACTTCCAAGCTTAACAGCCTACTTTATGTCACTCAGCTCTCCCCGTTTTATTAAGGAGACAGCATCTTCTCCCAGCCTGCCTGCTCTCTCCTGTCATTTTTAGCAGCCTTCCTCCACACTGCCCTCTGCTTTTGAAAAGCCTCTCAGCCTCCTGCTCTTCATTCATGCGGGAACACAGTCTTTCCATTCACAATTTAAGTCATAGCTCCCTCCCAACGCTCCTTTCTCCCATAGAAATGCCCCTCTGGCACTAAGGAGCTCCATCACCACGGAGCCCCCACGGGCAGGCCCTCAACTGCAAGGAAGACGCTAAGGAATTTAAGAGGCTTTCAACATGACCTCACCTGGTTTTTACCTTCTCTTCCAAGTCTAAGAACAGACAGCAGCCTCATCAATTCACCAGGCAGAGGAGCTGATAGTAGGTGACTGAGAGGAACTCTCTAGAGGGAGCATTATGGAAAAGACAAAGAATCTCTGAGAACATTCTTTGCTCTTTATTATTTTAAGCTATTTTTGCCCTTGCTAATATTTAAGATAAAAATAAAGACAGCCTTCTTGAGAGATGAAGGATGTGATAGAAGTGTAAATAGAAGCGGTTGGGCCTCTTGTTACAGGGATGTCTTCTAATAATTATGTCTTTTCTCTTTCCTTTCTTGTAATCTTTAGGGTTACAGCTATTAAGACACAGATACTATTAGCAAAGCAGCACTTTCATACAATTCTGCCCATACTTATTGTTATGAATAATCAAAATTGAACACGTATTGAGTTCCTACTTGTGCCAGACCATTTCACATGTACTCATTTGTTTAACTTTCAAAATAAACCACATTACAAGAAAACACAAGCATGACTTATTAGAGGTCGTGATTCAGATTCCATCTCATTTCTTCTGACCACAGATCCAGAACTCTCGATTATTATTCCACTCTAGAGCTAGAAAGCCTGTAGAGAAGGCACGTTCTGTTCCCCACTGTCTGCTGGATGGGTTTCCTTTGCTCCCTGCACCTGTGTACACTGCCAATAAACTTCACTGTCATCTCGACCACAAACCTGTCTAGGAAGGGCTATTACTGCTTAGAAATTTTATCACTTTGTGATAAAATGTGCTCTTACTTGATGCCATTTCATTTTCGCTTTGCATAGATGTTCTGGTGCATGGTTTAGGACTATTATGCTTACTAGGATGAGGAGTTTTTTTGTTTTTAGTTTTTTCCAAAAAGAGACACCTCTACATTGGGGCTACTTCATACTGTCAATGAAGACAGCACTGTCCATAGCTTCAAGTGCTGAAATACCCAACTCCATTCAACTTTTAAAAAAGATTCATTCAAAGCACTCTATTCTCTAGACACTGACAGCTATTTTTCTCAGGATTGGATAACATCAAAATCTTCTCCAGTTGATATGAAACTCATTCTTTACTGACAAATTTCCTGAAAGTTGATGAGGTTTAGGTTTGACATTTAAACAAATGAGCAGTGTCATTACTCACAGATTCCTGCTCTCTGATATCACTGTCAAATCTGCAAAATGGAACAGAATGAGAGTTGCCTTTATGCCTCATAGTACAAGCAGTTTTACTCAGGGAGCCAGGAAAAGTAGCACTATTCATGCAAGATAAGAGCTGCCAAGGGTATAAAAGTGGCATAACACAGTGAGGGCAGCAGATGTAATCACTGACCCTCAGGTCCATACATCATGTACACTTTCATGTAACTGACTGATTAGAAAATGCCAACCTTGTTGAACTTACAAATACAATGGCATCGGCTAGAATCCATTTCTCCCACAATGTCCTTTTGTAAAGTGATGTAACAGGATATTGTCTAAACAGAATAGCAAATTCTTGATCATCTCATCTCTTCTTTTTCCTCCTCACAATCCTTTTCCATCGTCATGCCCCAACTTCATCACAAAGATGTTCCTTGCAGAGACAGAAAGCAGTTTCCTGGAAACAAATGACAAAGTCATTCACAAAAAGGTACAATTACTGTAAATGGGAGTTGATGAGTATTTGTGTTCCAATAAAAAGTCATGTGTATAATTACAGAAATTTTAGTCATAAGAGGAAATATGTGGTAAAGTTCTGTTTTATAACCCAATAGATTAATCTACTTATTCAACCTGTATATTTTGAGCAATATTTTGTTTATAAAATTAATGTGTGTAAGGAGGAGGATTCTTGGGAAGACTCAAAGGAGTAAGTTAGATGTCCTAAGTACACCTAGGAAAAATATTCAATTCTCTGCCTCTCTTCCCCACATTGAATGGTATCCTAGTTCACTTGGGATTCCTCAGTCTTCCCTATCATGTCAGTAGAAAATGTGAAAATGGGGCCAGGCATGGTGGCAGAAGCCTTTAATCCCAGCACTCCAGAGGCAGAGGCAGAGGCAGGCGAATCTCTATGAGTTCAAGGCCAGCCTGATGTAGACAGTGAGTTCTAGGCCAGCTGGGTCTATAGTGAGACCCTGTCTCAAAAAGACCCCCCCCCAAAAAAAGAAGAAGACAGAGAAAATGTGAAAATGTCTAATCAGTGGATATGTTTCATGCTTCTTGTGTGGCCATTACCAAGTTGTTGAACTCTCCCAGTCTACCTGTTTCTAATTACAAACTGAGACAATAATGGTGCTTTGTCAAAGTCCTATCAGAATCCAATAGATAAGTATTCTCCATCTTGAAATAAAGTGGAACACACACACACACACACACCACACACACCATACACACACCATACACACACCACACACACACCCCACACACACACCACCCCCCACCACACCCCCCACACCTCATACACACCACACACACACACCCCACACACACCATACACACACCACACCCCCCCCATACACGCCCCCTGCACACACACCACACACACACCACATATACACACATACACCCCACACCCCACACACACACCCACCATTCACACACCACCCACACCACACATACACGTGCAGACTTGTGCGCGCACACACACGCACACACACCACACGCATACATATATATATATTTTTTTTTTTGGACCACAGCAAGCACTAATTAATGTCAATTTTTGTTCCTTTACTTTCACTAGTAAGTGTCCCACTGTGGCTTGTAGCACTTTTCTACCTCCAAAAAGTCTGTTGATCTCAGTGTCTCTTTAAGATCTTTGTTCTGACTCTGTTACTCAACTGTTTTCCTAAAAGATATGAGTTACATGGAATTGGCACATTCCTTTCCTTTTCATGTAGATCGATCTATCCATCACTTGATACTGTTTATTTAACATTTTGTTCCACCTCTCCAAGAAAGCCCTCCTCTTAAATTTTCATTTTTTCTCAGATTAAACTTGCCTGTACTAGGTCTCATTCATTTAATTATTTTGCAGTTGCTGTTAGTCATTTGATCTATCACTAATAATATTCTAGATAATACACATATTGGTTAAATAAGATTAAAGTACATTGTCACTTAAATATTTATCCAATAAAGTTAAGCAAATTGTATGTGAGGGATGGCGTGAATGTCTGAAATATAGATGTTTTCTACAGAGTTAATTTTATATCCCAGAAGTGAAATTGGCACAGCTTCAAGTCTGCTCCCTATAGCCCAAGGAGAGTAAGGGATTCTGCTTCTCCAAATTCCTGTTACAGTTTCTTGTGTTTGTAAACCCATCATTTCTTATAGAAAAAGCAGAAAAGGGTGAGAGAGAATACTTTACTCAAATCTGCAAAGAACCAACAGAAATCATGAATAGTGATTAAAAGGGCAATATTATGAGCTACTTATAATAATATATATTTGCAAGTCTATCAGTCAGGAGCTCAAGGAGGAGGATGCAAACATGATTTTTAGGGTAGCCTGAGTAAACTAGTTTCAGGCCAAACTGGGCTATATAGTACAATTCTGCCTCAAAAGCAAACTAAACGAAATCAGTTTAAATTCTAAACATGTCATGTAGATTTAGTTAAGTGATAATTAAACTTATAACTCTGCATTATGCTTCTCTAGAGCTATAACTACTTAGTCTTCATTAGTAAAAATAAAACATGTCTTTAAGAAAATATCAGTGTTAAATTTTGGGTCCACATAGTGATGGGTAAAATGGACTGACAATAATAAAAGTAATAGGTGTCATTAATAAATTTAAACGTAATGGTTTATTCCTATATTTGGTAAAATATATATGAAAAG